ACTAGTCAGTATCCGTGTGCAAAGGTGTATTTGCTTTGGAAGAATAAATGACGTTGGGTGTCCTACATGTGTGGATGTTGCTGTATTATATAAAACTATTAGTTTAGTTGTTTTACTTTTTAGAATAGGGTGCCTCGAGATGCTTAATTTTAATGGGTACCTTGACTAAAAAAAAGGTTGGGAAACACTGCTCTAAGCATTATCTATACATAAACCTTTTGGCTTTTTTCCACATTATATTTGAAATAATAGGATGTATGAGGTTTTTGTCATAGTTTCTTATTTACATATCATATTATCATTATTAAATTTTATTTATTTTATTTAATAATATTCTATTTTATTATCTCATTGTATAACAAATAGGCTGATTATGTAGACCTACAGCTGTGCTCAAAAGTTTGCATACCCTGGCAGAAATCATGAAATTTGGGCATTGCTATTGAAACCTATGGGTTTTTTTTCATTGTAGTCTTCTGGCAATTGTGGCTGCAATCTTTCTTAGTCTACTTGATCCTGGCTTGGTATCAAGAGATCCCTGAATTTTCACTTCTTAATTAGTGATTATACAGTACTGACTGGCATATTCAAGGCTTTGGATATCTTTTAATATCTTTTTCTATCTTTATAAAGTTCTATTACCAGGTCTTTTGACAGTTCTTTTCTGCTCCCCATGGCTCAGTATCTAGCCTGCTCAGTGTATCCACGTGAGAGCTAACAGACTCATTGACTATTTATACACTGACACTAACTGCACTTTAAAAAGCCACATATATGGGAAATGAACCTTTAATTGCCATTTTACCTGTATGTGTCACCTTATGTGTCTGCACCTAGGCAAACATTTCAGGGTATGAAAACTTTTGTTCTGGGCCATGTGGGTGATATCTGTTATCATTATGTTTAACCGCCTCCCGCCCATAGTACAATGACGTACAATGACGGGCGTAAGGTGGTTCTCTCGTTCTGGGGAGGACGTCATATGACGTCGTCCCATTCTAACCGCGCATGCGTGGCTCCGGGAGAACGCAGCGCGGCGATCGATGGTGCGCTGTGTCCCTCGAACACAGCGGAACACCGATCAACGCAAAGAGCCGAAGATGTCAGCTCGGTCATGTGATCAGCTGTGTCCAATCACAGCTGACCTCATGTAAATAGGGAAATGCCGGTTATCGGCATTTATCTCCTCACGAGCTGTCACGCTGACAGCTCGAGAGGAGAGCAGAGCCGGTAATCGGCATCCCTCAGAAGGGAAATGTGCACTGATCATCAGGGCACTGATGATCAGTGTGCCCTGATGATTTGTGTAGCCCCAGCAGTGCCACCTGTCAGTATCAATCAGTGCCAGCTCTCAGTGCTCACCCATGCCACCTGCCAGTGCCCATCAGTGCCACATCAATACCACATATCAGTGCCTACCAGTGCACATCAATGCCACATATCAGTGCCCATCTGAGCTGCCTTTCAGTGTCACCCATCAGTGCCAGTCAGTGCCAGTCAGTACCACCTATCAGTGCCAGTCAGTGCCACCTATCAGTGCCAGTCATTGCCGCCTATCAGTGTGCATCAGTGCTGCCTATCATTGCCCATCAGTGCTGCCTAACAGTGCCAGTCAGTGCCACCTAACAGTGCCAGTCAGTGCCGCCTATCAGTGCCAGTCAGTGCCACCTATCAGTGCCGCCTATCAGTGCTGCCTATCAGTGCCATATATTTGTGCTGCCTTTCAGTGATGCCTGTCAATGCCCATCGGTGCCATCTAGCAGTGCCTCCTCATCAATGCCCATCAGTGCCACCTATCAGTGTCCATCAGTGCAGCCTCATTAGCGTACATCAGTGAAGGAGAAAAAAACACTTATTTACAAAATTTTAAAACAAAAACTAAGAAAAATTTTTTTTTTCAAGAATTTTCAGTGGTTTTTGGTTTGTTTAAGAAAAAATAAAAAACCGCAGAGGTGATTAAATACCACCAAAATAAAGCTCTATCTGTCTCCAAAAAATGACACAAATTTCATATGGGTACAGTGTTGCATGACCGTGCAATTGTCATTCAAAGTGCGCCAGCTGGAAATTGGCCTGGGCAGGAAGGGGGTATAAGTGCCCTGTAGGCGAAGGGTTAAAAAGGAGCCAAACAACTATGTGATAATAAACAGTTTTCATATGATCACGATCCTTAAATAAAATACAGTTTTTTTTTGGCATGATCAGTCATATTTTTAATATCAATGCGAAAATCTTATGATTTCTGCCAGGGTATGCAAACTTTTGAGCACAACTGTATTTTCGTATAATTATTATTAGGATAAATTGATTTATATTGTTTTTAATTGATGAAATTGTATCATTTTATGTATTTGATTTATTTTATCAATCAGTCGATGCACTTGATATAAGGGAGCCAGTTTACGGCACAGTAACTGGCAAATAAGGAGTTAATTGCTAGTCTGACAATATGTACCTAAAATGTGATAATTGTAATTGATACAAGTGAGTACAAAAGTATCTTTATCATTATGGGTTAGGGCACTGAATATTATGCTTGCTGTTAGTTTGAATGCCAGCTTTATGATCCATCACAGCAGGGACCGGGGCTCGGGTATATCAGAGAGGCTCTTCCAGCATCAGATATCCCCTTTGAGAAAGTCGCAGATGGCGAAATGCGCAGGGGCGGAGCCTGATGCTGGAAGAGTACTGGTTTGTGTCCTTTTAGCTGTGAAAGTTGTATGAGCAGTGAAGGGACTGGGTGGCTGATGGCTGATGTATCGCTACAAACCCTCTGCTGCATTATCAACCCACTGAGCTTGTTTGATATACCTGCTGATTAATTGATATTTGTGAGTATATCTGATATGCTATTAATAAAGTTCTTTGGATGTTACTAGACTATCGGAGTTCTTTTTTGTTTTGTATCCATGTCTATTTGAGAGATTTGTGAAGTGAGCGTTGAACACCAGCTTGATTGGGGTCTCACAAGCTTTGCTTGCCTAATCTGTTGCAGGATAGGCATGCATTTTCAATAAGCACATCCCCTAATGCCCCATACACACGATAAGAAAATTGTACAAAAAATTTAGTGGAACCACTGATCGAACGATTTCCTCTTAGTTGATGAGCAGGATGTTTTAACCAATAACGATATTGTGAACGAAAAAATCCGGTTGAACAACAGTGAAAAATGTTGTGGTTTCACATACAAACTACCGTTTTTCTATGCGGTGGTATGACGGTCGTACAAAAAAATCTATCAAGCGCTATCACGCATGAACGGAAACAGAAGATGACCCGGATGTTTATGTCCAAGGAATCTTCGTAAACATGAACAAAAAATCCAAATGTTAAAAGTAGATTGGCCCAGGGGCAGACTGACAACTCATGGGGCTCCCGGGCAATACGGGATCATGGGGCCCCTGTGTCCTTGCCCAAACTCAAAAAAGCCTATGAAAAAGGTACCAGGGGCATCTCATGGGTCCCCCTACTGACCCCAGGCCCTCGGGCAGGGCCAGAGTTTCCAAATGGTCAGTCCGCCCCTGGATTGGCCTAATGAGATAATGAAACCAGAATTAATGTGGGCCACGATTTCGACCAACGAACGAACGCTTCTCAGTCGTCAGATGACTAATCGGTCGATTTTCTATTCCCACATTAAGTGTGGTGGAAGAAGCACTTCCGTGAAACCTTGGAGTGTTTTTGAAGAAGACACATGGTGGAGGTAAATTTCGGACAAAACACCACTGGACTATTTATGTTTTCACATCTTTTTTGGTCTTTTGAGCAATATTGGCACCATTTAGAGCTCACTGAACTTTTATGGATATTTGGTATATGTATTTGATATTGTTCTTCAGCTCTGTATTTTTTTCTGTTTTTATACATAAAGTAGCACTACAACTCTTTAGTGAATTCTCCAATGTACGGTGCCACCATGACTGTGACCTGCAGGACATGTACAGTACATGTACGGGCAGCACAGTGGCTAAATGGTTAGCACTTCCACCTGGCAGTACTAGGGTTGTTGGTTCGAATCCCAACCATGGCACCTCCTGCCTGGAGTTTGCATGTTCTCCCTGTGCCTGCGTGAATTTCCTTCAGGTACTCCGGTTTCCTCCTCACACTCCAAAGACGTGCTGGTAGGTTAATTTAGATCCTGTCTAAATTGGCCCTAATATGTGTATGTATGAATGTGAGTTAGGGACCTTAGATTGTACACCCCTTGAGGGTTAGGGACTGATGGGAATGTACAATATATATATGTAAAGCGCTGTGTAAATTGACAGCTCTATATAAGTACCTGGAATAAATAAATAAATGTGCAGGAATCTAAATTTTAAGCTCTGAGTGATATCTTCTGAACATGTCATAGTTTGCTGATTTGAATCAGAAAAGACTCCCAGGTCTTCTGATGGAATGGGAGATGTCAGTTCTTTGAGAGGATGGACCTGCTTTAAATGTGACCTGTTTTCTATTTGCAAGCCAGGAGTACACAGAATTTTCTGGTTGTTTTTAGTGTTTAAAAATTTTAAAACTATCCATTTGTTAACTTTTATCACCATTATATTACCGCAGAACAGGCGGACTGTAGTGAGGCATGACATTTCTAGGAAAAGAAATGTACATGACATATTACAGGGGCCTCCTACATGTCCATGCTGTCATCTTCTGTATATCACAATGTACAGATCTTCATCCATCACCTTCAGAACGATGACCGCATTTCACACCTGACTTCTCTGCAATGTTTATTAAACGTTCATGAGATCTTTTTTCATCTTTTCGCATCAGGAGCTAAGACTGTGTGGGAGGACTGGTGACAGTAGACTCACGCAGATCCACACAATGTGTTACAGTCCAAAGACAACAAATACAAGTAGTAAAAATAGTTAAAAACAATAAACAAATACATTTTAAAAATATGTATGACTCAATCAAATATATTTGATTGTCAAAATATGTGCTTCAAACTAATACACAATGAATCTGCTTGTGTATTTTCCTTCAGTAGATTGTGTCTCTGCCCCTCCCACAATGGGGAGATTTCCCTGCAGTAGTTTGTGTCTCTGCCCCTCCCACAATGGGGAGATTTCCCTGCAGTAGATTGTGTCTCTGCCCCTCCCACAATGGGGAGATTTCCCTGCAGTAGTTTGTGTCTCTGCCTCTCCCACAATGGGGAGATTTGCCTGCAGTAGGTTGTGTCTCTGCCCCTCCCACAATGGGGAGATCTCCCTGTAGTAGTTTGTGTCTATTCCCCTCCCACAATGGGGAGATCACCCTGCAGTAGGTTGTGTCTCTGCCCCTCCCACAATGGGGAGATCTCCCTGCAGTAGTTTGTGTCTCTGTCCCTCCCACAATGGGGAGATTTGCCTGCAGTAGGTTGTGTCTCTGCCCCTCCCACAATGGGGAGATCTCCCTGTAGTAGTTTGTGTCTCTTCCCCTCCCACAATGGGGAAATCACCCTGCAGTAGGTTGTGTCTCTGCCCCTCCCACAATGGGGAGATCACCCTGCAGTAGTTTGTGCCTCTGCCCCTCCCACAATGGGGAGATTTGCCTGCAGTAGGTTTGTGTCTCTGCTCCTCCCACAATGGGGAGATCTCCCTGTAGTAGTTTGTGTCTCTTCCCCTCCCACAATGGGGAGATCACCCTGCAGTAGGTTGTGTCTCTTCCCCTCCCACAATGGGGAGATTTCCCTGCAGTAGATTGTGTCTCTGCCCCTCCCACAATGGGGAGATTTCCCTGCAGTAGTTTGTGTCTCTGCCCCTCCCACAATGGGGAGATTTCCCTGCAGTAGGTTGTGTCTCTGCCCCTCCCACAATGGGGAGATTTCCCTGCAGTAGTTTGTGTCTCTGCCCCTCCCCCTGCAGTAGTTTGTGTCTCTGCCCCTCCCACAATGGGGAGATTTCCCTGCAGTAGTTGTGTCTCTGTCCCTCCCACAATGGGGAGATTTCCCTGCAGTAGGGGGAGATTTCCCTGCAGTAGTTGTGTCTCTGCCCCTCCCACAATGGGGAGATTTCATTTTTGTTAAACATATGACTCTGGTTCCATCGAATTTATGACCTCTTGACCCCACAAAGAGATAATACTTTACAAGGTCTGCATGTGTCATGGAAATTTTGTATTGTTGGTTGAACTTTAAATGTGTCATATATTAGTGTTATTCATATGTCTCTCGTGTGGCTTAATTAAAGCTCTGAAGGCTGCAATTGGGCCATGCGCATTTACAATGTATGTATTACAGTACTCAGCTCGGTAATGGATGAGATGGCAGATCTGCACTTATAGACCGGCGTGTATACCACCACAGCATTCGATGCGAATGCCGCCGGCGGTAGGCCGCGGGCCTGTATCCACATATCAGCAGCATAGTACCACATGGACTTCATAACGCAAGGCGCCAAGCGGTGTGAACTCCGTGTGTAGGCTTATGTATATCTTACAAGCCATTACCAACCTGAACTGTATCTGGATGGATGTGTTTTAATAAAGATCGTATCGGGCCCATCCAGATACAGACTGATGTTTCTAGGGAGTGCTTGTACAGAGAATTTACATATCACTAGGAGCTACTAGGACAGGAAATATGCTCTCCATAGAGAGTTCATGGGGGGGGGGGGAGGAAGTCTGCTGACCTCAGAGGGCTCATGGGGGAGGACCAGTGATAGATAAAAGGAAAGGCTATGCTCCAATCGGAATGTACATCCTGTGTATAGGCACTCCCCATTGCATTGTGCTGTGGGAGGGGATTGACCTTATTCATGTGGGGGGCATGTGTGTGTTTGTAATAAAACCAGAGACTGAGAATGAAAACTTCCGCTATGTGAATTCCAACAGCAACCTGAGAGTGTCGTGTGATCATTCCTGGGTAACAGAGCTCCAATTCCCCACATCTCAACAGAAGCTAACCCAGTTGGAGGTGCAGGAATCTTGGGGCTAAGCTGCAGTCGTGGTAAGCGAGATTCGCACAGCTTTATGGGGGATTTCTGCGCATCCAACTGCGAGTACTCACGGTAAGGAGAAATTCGTTAAAGCGAATTTCCAAGACACATGCTTCCCACAAGATCCTCCTCCAACTCTTCCGTGAGTACATAAGAAACGTCATGCACCTGAAACATACAGACTCTCCCCTCTATCAAGTACAGTGGGGATCGAAAGTTTGGGCACCCCAGCTAAAAATTTGTATTAATGTGCATAAAGAAGCCAAGAAAAGATGGAAAAATCTCCAAAAGGCATCAAATTGCAGATTAGACATTCTTATAATATGTCAACAAAAGTTAGATTTTATTTCCATCATTTACACTTTCAAAATAACAGAAAACAAAAAAATGGTGTCTGCAAAAGTTTGGGCACCCTGCAGAATTTATAGCATGCATTGCCCCCTTTGCCAAGCTGAGACCTGCCAGTGTCATGGATTGTTCTCAGTCATCGTCTGGGAAGACCAGGTGATGTCAATCTCAAAGGTTTTAAATGCCCAGACTCATCTGACCTTGCCCCAACAATCAGCACCATGGGTTCTTCTAAGCAGTTGTCTAGAAAACTGAAACTGAAAATAGTTGATGCTCACAAAGCTGGAGAAGGCTATAAGAAGATAGCAAAGCGTTTTCAGATGTCAATATCCTCTGTTCAGAATGTAATTAAGAAATGGCAGTCATCAGGAACAGTGGAAGTTAAAGCAAGATCTGGAAGACCAAGAAAAATATCAGACAGAACAGCTCACAGGATTGTGAGAAAAACAATTCAAAACCCACATTTGACTGCACGATCCCTCCAGAAAGATCTGGCAGACACTGGAGTTGTGGTACACTATTCCACTATAAAGAGATACTTGTACAAATATGGTCTTCATGGAAGAGTCATCAGAAGAAAACCTCTTCTACGTCCTCACCACAAAAATCATCGTTTGAACTTTGCAAATTAACATATAGACAAGCCTGAGTCATTTTGGAAACAAGTTCTGTGGACCGATGAGGTTAAAATTGAACTTTTTGGCCGGAATGAGCAAAGGTACGTTTGGAGAAGAAGGGGCACAGAATTTAATGAAAAGAACCTCTGCCCAACTGTTAAGCATGGGGTTGGATCAATCATGCTTTGGGGTTGTGTTGCAGCCAGTGGCACAGGGAACATCTCACGAGTAGAAGGAAAAATGGATTCAATAAAATTTCAGCAAATTTTGGATGGTAACTTGATGCCATCTGTGAAAAAGCTGAAGTTAAAGAGAGGATGGTTTTTACAAATGGATAATGATCCTAAACACACCTCAAAATCACGGGGGATTACATCAAGAGGTGTAAACTGAAGGTTTTGCCATGGCCTTCACAATCTCCTGACCTCAACATAATTGAAAATCTACGGATAGACCTTAAAAGAGCAGTGCGTGACAGACAGCCCAGAAATCTCAAAGAACTGGAAGACTTTTGTAAGGAAGAATGGGCAAAGATACCTCAAACAAGAATTGAAAGACTCTTGGCTGGCTACAAAAAGCGTTTACAAGCTGTGATACTTGCCAAAGGGGGCAGTACAAGATATTAACTCTGCAGGGTGCCCAAACTTTTGCAGACGCCATTTTTTTGTTTTCTGTTTATTTTGAAAGTGTAAATGATGGAAAGAAAATCTAACTATTGTTGACATATTATACGAATGTCTAATCTGTAATTTGATGCCTTTTGGAGATTTTTCCATCTTTCCTTGGCTTCTTTATGCACATTAATAGAAATTTTTAGCTGGGGTGCCCAAACTTTCGATCCCCACTGTATGTATGTCAAAGTGACCCTCTGAGGAAAGGTATCTTGTCCCTGCTTCACAAGTCGTTGCTGTCTGGTGACATGTCTGACCTCTGGCCTTACAACACCCAATGGGAAATGGACCTGGATATCCCTCTGGAAGCCTACCAATAGTATCCAGTATGGGATACTTTTGTGCACAGGTCGATCAATTCCTCCTTTTTTAAAGCCTAATTACAAGTTGTTACTTCTGTGCCATATGGCACCATCCAGTGTAGCTACATTTTATCAAGGCTCCTCTCTTCATTGTCTTCGGGGCTTTGGCTTAACTGGCACTTTTTTTTTTAAATAAATATTTATTGGGTTTTTATCATTACAAAAAAACCAAGAGAAAGAAAATATAGTACAGGTGACTTGTGCATTGAGTAGTAGTACAAAATATGAATTTGGTTCATAACATTAAGAACATAGACCATAAGAAAGATAGGAAACTCATAGTATAGTTACTTTGGTAAGCATAAGGCAACTATACCTGGCCTGATGGTGGGCATACTAGGCATAAGTGATAACAGCTCGTTACTGTAGAAATGTCTGAACTGTATCGTCTATTTAGAGGTATAGTGGTATGTAAAAAAAAAAAAAAGAAAACATTTACTAGAAGCTGGAATAGAGGAGAAGAAGGAAATAGAAGGTAAAGATGGAGAAAAGGGGGAGATAAGAGAACTGACAGAACCTGAGGGAACCAGTGTGTTTTCTTTTGAAAACTTGAAAATGAGGTTAGTGAATAGCCAAAGGAGTGGCTGTATAGGTGATCTTGGATAACCTGGGTGTGCTGTATCATAAGGAAGCCAAAAATTATATATCTGAATAGGAGGAACCATGAAACATCATATTACTAGCACTATAGTAAAGTAGTCATGTCATACATTTACGATTTGTGGTTAGTGTGGATAGTTGCAAGATCAGCTAAGTTTACTCAGTAATTATTAACATGCCAGGATCTCTTGTTGTTCTGATATAAAGTTCTGGAAATATATTGGTGCCATTTGCGGGTAAAGGAGTCCATTTTACGAGGACAGGTTAGTCATAGATCCAATTTCTCCTTGTGGATGAGGCAGTTGAGATCTTGTTTAACATCAGATATGGTCGGTGGTGTGGCTGAGATCCATTTCTTCAGGACGGCTCTCCTTGCTGCAAGAAAGCAGGTTGTTAGACGCGGTTTATTTTTTCTGATGAGCATAGAATGCGGGTTGAGGAGGTTGAAGGTGGTGTGTTCTAGATTGCCGAAAAAAAGATGGAGAGGATCTTTTGAGAGCTGTAAACCAGTGATGCATTTTGCGAAGCGGTTCACTTGGTCCCAGGAGCTGGATATAGGAGGGCATAGCCATAGCCTATGCTTGAGAGAAGGTATATTGAAGTTGCAAAGCGGACAGCTTGGTACGACACGTGGGGATTTTGAAAAGGTACATGGCATATAGGCACGATGCTTTATCTTGAGTTGTTGTTCACGCCAGAACTCGTTTGATATGAAGGTTCAAGTGGAATTGAAGCCCGTCAGTATTTGGTCTACTGTAACCGAGTTTTGAAAGTCCTTGACCCAAGATGCTGTTGACGAGAGTTCTAAGGGTTTAGAAAAGTGTAGGTTAAGTGGGGTGTATATGTTCGAGATCTTGAACTTTCGGCGTTGCAAAAGTGCATCGATTAACGAGTTGTGAAATCTGACAGATTTATTGGGAACAAGGTTTTTCACATAGTTCAGGACTTGTAAAACGTATATAAAGTGATGGGAAGGCAGGTTTAGGTTCGTCATAATGTATTGGAATGGCATAAGTGATCCAGAAGAAGCATCAAACAGTTGCACAACATATACAAGTTAGACGCCAGATATCTGTCAACTGCAGAGCTTCCACAAAGTTAGCAAGTAGCATGGCCGCGGGGGGGCGAGCGTAAGAGAGACATCGGCAAAGAGCCGCTGCCTTTCGATATGTCTTCCTGTCAATTCATATAAGAGTTAAAGTCTCCTCCCATGATGAGAGGAAGGTGTAAATATTTAGATATCCGTGAGGGCGTAGTTTGAAAGAACTGTTTAGTAGGTGAATTAGGGGTGT